TTTGCCCTCGACAGCAGATGCTGTATCAGTCAGAAAATGTCAGCAAACAACTCGACCTGCTCTTCGAGGCGAGAGGAGGAAAGTCGCTCCGTAGACTTGCGTAGGCCCCCCGTCGGTTTCGTGTTTGTTGCTTCTTTAACCGAGACGGGTGGAAACGTCAGCCCGGCTAAGAGCAACTCCAGGCGAGCCACTGAACATCTCCCACCCCACGGTCCAGCCCGACCTCTGTAGGCAACCGAAGTATAGAAGATATTCCCGCGAATCAACGGATCAATTCCATGTATGGGCCTCATAGTGGATGATTAGGTCCTCAACTTCGTCGGTCAGTTGTTGCTTGAATCAGTCGACGATGCCACAACCCACCGCGAGAGATTGCTTCACAAGCTGCCCGCTAAGCTACGAAAGCTCTCGATTCACTCATAGAGACAGTCCTTGGCTTCGATCTTCGGGATGTTCCCGTAGTTCCGCACATCAACTGAGTTGGGTGTAAGCGAGACAACGGGTTCCCCGCTCCCCCCTTATTACTGCGTCCGTCCTTCAAGCTGCAACACGGCCTATCCTGGTCCCGCCATCTTGGATATCAGTCACGGTTTCAGCGAGAAAGGGCCGTCTTAGCTAATATTCGTATAGCTACAAGGTGAAGCCCGGCTAATTTGCAACTTTTGACTACATGGAAACGCAGCGGAATCTTAGCATGATGAGGTTTGGAAGAATATCCGATTCGCTGACGGTGCTGCAAATGATCGCCCATGAAGCCGTTTGACTTGGTTTCTAGTCAACTTCATAGGCTGTTGTATTTCCCCTTCAATCCAAGTCTAGAATGCAATGCGTGTAACGCCATCAGTTGTGAGAAGTGTCAGCCAAGAACTTGCACGCCACCGGACATTCTGGTAGCTCTTGTGATCCAGAATCGTAAGCGACCTTTCTTCTAGTCAGATGACGGGGCATCAACCCCGGTCACCGGGCTCCCACCAGTCTGATAGCCTTATGGATGCCCCGCGTATCCTCGAGTCAGTGAATCTAGAAAATCATCACATCGCAATGATGAGAGTGGCGCTTCCAAAAGTCCCGCAATCTTAATCCGCATCGCCTGTTCTAGATTTCTGCTTCTACAAACTCCCATGTCAGTGCGCTGATTTCTACTCCGGCTGAACGGCAAAGTCTTTAGTTGCGTGTTGTAAATGGAATTTAGTATCCACGTATGGTAGCGCTTGTCGTCCTGTGACGACATACGCAACGAGGAACTGAGACAGCGGTGAGAAGAGCTTGATAGAAGTCAGCATGCTGATGGTTGAGCTCTCAAGGTAGAAGACAGCGGTGAGAGGGGCATAATAGCAATAATTCCATTAATCAAGATGGTGGCCTTGATTTGCTTTTGTTTTTTGCTGAAATGCATGCACGGAGCTTTTGAACATCGTGTGTGATTATGGTCACATTGAGTTTTTCATACGACGCAATAGCTCTGTAGCTGACTTTTTAAGTGCAGAACACACTGTGTTCATTGTGAGCTCGAGGAAAACAATAGAAGAGGATAGCATTACTGTTGACTGCAGCCCTGCCTGGTGACGCTTTTGCATTTGAACTGTCATTAAAGGATTCGACCTCAACAGAATAGAACATAAACACAGACCAAGAATATTTCATGGTAAGATTCCAAGTGACTGACAACCCATAGAATCTCTCTACCATTAAACATGACCCAACTAGCTCATTCCTCGGTTCACAGCTCTGCATACCATCCATTCTTGCGCAGTTTCCACCTCGTCCTCCTCCTTTTCCCCTACCAATTTCTCTCGTGGCACATATATAGATGAGGCGGTGTAGATATATGCCACTTCTTAAGCCTTGCCCATGACGGTGGAGAATCGGTCTCACTCAGAACGATTTGAGGTTCTTATGTGGACGAGGTTCCTCCACTTGAGATCGTATTATTGATCTCCTCGTACCGTGATGGACGAACGATTTTTTTCTTTGAGCAATGACGGAGAAATTGCCGATCTATAGGAGTAGCGGTCTGCTTAGCAATCTGCTGACGTTCCTACTATGCCTGAGGCTCTGAACTGAACAAAACTGAGACGAAAGATTTTCAGGAATGTCCTAGACAGGATATATAAGGGATCCTTGACTCTTGAAGAAACACAGTAACAAGCAAACACTTGTGGGTGACAGATTAGTCCAGGATAGTTGGCATTGACTGGGCGTGCTTTTCTCGACTGGTCTCGAGCACGCCGCTTAGCTTGCGAGCTTTGAAGCATTCTCTCCACAGAGTTGGTAGCGAAATTGACAGCGATAATGAAAACTCAGCGGCGTGTGTACATTCACTTGACAGACCTGTTCCAACGTGAGGCTCAGAATGCTAAAGTCTGATCGATCAGAGCTTAACAATTCCAAGTCCATGCCAGCGTGATGTTGTGCCAAAAGGACGGGACAAAGCCAGCAGGGCCAATGGGAGAAGGAGGGACCACCAGATTCAATGGGGGTTTGAGAGTAATCCCTATTGCCTAGAAACTCGCAGTTGGCACCGAACAGTATCTACGCTTGGATTCTTCAAGGGCCAGCACTTGGACGTCAAACGTCAAAGGCTTCTCGGTCTCTGAAGAAAGAAACCCATATCCGTGTGTTGCGTCGTTTTACATCAACAATATCTGCAAGATCATGGGGTCCCAAATGCCAGCTTATGAATCGTGTTGCGCCCTCCCAAGTACACTACTTTCTTCGAAGGTAGGAAAAAAAGAAATACAACCTGAAGGTGAGAACGGAGATTGCCTAGGTGGTAGTAGATGATGCCAGCACAGTCGATCGTGCGACCACCACTCTCTTATACCTAATTAAGATACACTTCACACCCGCGCATCCCGCGGCGCCGCTCCGGCACCCACCCTGAAATCAGGAATCGCCGGCCGGGGTGGGGCACCCGGATTTCGGCGCATATATGTAAGCCGTACGAGGAAACGGGATACGGAGACCACAAGCAGTCATCGCCAACATCACGGACTCAGACAGACCTTGCCCAGCTGAAAATTGTCCTGCCGTAGCCTGAAGTGTGGAGAGGCAAGCCCACTCACGCTTGCGTGGACAAGGCCGGAGATTGTGATACTACGGGATGAACCCCTTCTCTGTCGGCACAATGCGTCCAGAATTCCCACTGAGAGATGGAGAATGAATTATCACGCAGAGAACCTGCGTGAAGGACTTTTGCTGGACGATCGAAGGCCCGTAAGTTGAGCCTACGCACTCGGCGGGCTAACATCACCACCGAGATAGGGCCGCATCTCAGGCGCGAAAAGACATGGCCGGCTTTGGGGATATGCGGTTCTCTTTCCCGTGGCAGAACAGAAAGTATCTAAGAAGAGAAGACGGTCCTTAGTGGTGCTCAACAAGAACGCCGAATAACACCACAACCAGTCAAAGCCCAGAACATCTCATACCAAACTGTCAGCCGCAATGCAATCCTCTCTCCTCAAGCTTGCGATTCTTCTCGCGCAGCCCCTCGCCGGGACCGCAGCGACCTTTCGCCCTGAACGGGATGGCCTCCTGCATGAAGGATTGGTACGTAAACCAACTCACTCTCTATTCCTGCTCCCGTATCTGAGAAACCCCACATACACACTCGATAACCAAACTGACATACACTCGCCAGCACAACATACCCACCTTCAGTCCCGCCGTCTCACAAACAATCAACCAGACAGACAACCTCCCCTCCCGCGGCTCCTTCTGGTCCTCCTCCTTCATCCACGCCTCCAACAACCACTCCTACCTCGTCCTCTCCCACCTCCTCCCCAGCATCGCAATCTACCGCGCCTCTGTCCTCGACATCACCGACCCGGCCCACTACGCGCAGTACCAAGTCATCACCAGGCCCGTCTCCCCCTTCTCCCCGTCCGGCGTGTTCAACGCCTCCTTCCCCGACTACGGCTTCGGCTCGACCAGCACCACCGACGGCGTCTCCAAACTGCGCACCTGGAGCGCCAGGCCCGACGACGGGGTGGAATTCGACCTCACCTTCTCCACCTCCGCGCCCATCCTCCTCAACGGCGGCCTCGGCTTCTTCGAGTCCCGCAACAAAACCGTCTACGAGTGGAACATGCCCGCGGGCGTCACGCGCGGCTGGATCGCCGTCAACGGGGCCCGGCTCGCCGTCGACCCGGCGCGCTCGCTGACCTGGTACGACCGGCAATGGGGCGGCGCGCCCCCAGGTTGGTCGTGGTTCGAGCTCCACCTCGAGAACCCCGACCAAGACTCCTACGACGTGCCCATGTCCGTGTGGGTGTGGGAAGAAGCTGGCGCCGCGGCCGGGCTAGCGACGATCAGAGACGGACGTGATGTGCAGAAGGTTGTGCCCGTGACGTCGCTGGTGCCGTCGAACAGGACGTACACCTCGCACTCGTCGGGGGCCGTGTACCCCCTTGACTGGACGCTTGAGCTGGGCGACGCGACGAGGCTATGCATTTCCAGCGTGAGGCCGGACCAGGAGATGGTTGCCGAGGGCGGGCTGTTGCCGACGTATGAGGGATATGTTACCGTCTCTGGTGTGTATCAGGGAAACCAAACCGTCGAGGGGTATGGACTCGTTGAGTTGGAGATTGTCACTTCCGACGTGCTGTAAACGATGAGGGCATGATGCTGTATGGTGAATAGCTGCCCGAGAAGGCCTGTTTCTCAATCGGCTCAAATTGTACACAGGAGCATGTGCTATGTGAAGACATGTTTTTCAAGTCTATACGTGTAGTTGTACTCTCAACCTGTCGACGATTAATACATATCATCCACCTCACTTTCATTAGCCAGCAATGATACTAGCACAGTAAACCAAATTCAAACACATGAAGATCAGAGTATCAAGCGGTGGACTATACACTGAAACCATCATCTTACATTTCTCCGTTTACATAAACTAGATTGCTTGGCCTTGACGCCTACTCCATGACAGGCCACACCTGCGAAGCAATTACACCGTTTGGATATTCGAATATACCCCCACATCTGATCCCCTATTCCTATCGATTTCTGATTGGAACGAGAGGCACCGCCTGAGGATACGTGCTCAGCAATTCCGAGCGCCTCTGAGTCCAGTTGGACTCGATAGTCCTCAAATCCATGTACAGAAATGGGGCCTTGGGTACTCTCAGACCCATCTTGTATCCGGCCTGGCACAGACATTCAATGGTATAATTACTCTGGCCCGTCGCGCAAGCCCAATCAAGCGTGGTCGGCAAGTCGTCGGTGGGACCTTGACGAAAGCGGCTCGGGTCTCGGGCTGCGTGAAGCTGGGGCATCCTCGGAAGCAACATGTCCACGAGTCTCTTCTTGCGCTCAGTCATCCTTCTCTGCAGCTCCGGGAGCAAATGCCGGGCCTTCATATGAGGCGAGGGCTTAGAGCTGTGAAAGGCATACTTTGGGTTCAGCTCATAGTTCGGAAGAGCGCACATTGGCAACTGATTTTCATCATCCCAGCGACGGATGGCGTCCCCCAGGCCGTAGATGTCCTCTTCTTCCTGATCAACGCGTCTCACCATCGTCTTCCAGGCAGTGTCGAGGCTGTCGTGGAACGGTTCTTGCAAGGCATCTCGCTGATGCCTATTGTAAACGCCACCGAGGACCACGTCAAGGGGCGAGAGGCATTCGGCCTTGGTCTCAGTTTTGGCGCCAAATTCAAGGAGAATCTTGATGGCTATCTCATCAAGCCAGAATGCTGCGTGGTGAAGCGGGGTGAAGCCTTCGAAGTCAGCCTCGTCGGGGTCAGCCCCGTGTGTGAGCAGCCACCGGAGCAGCTCGTGGCGGTAGAAGTTCAGGTCCCCAACGCGGTGATCGAAGCGGTGGCTCAGGAGGGCGATGAGGGGACTGACGCAAAAAGGCTCAATCAAACTGTTAATCTGTTCCTTGATGTCACATGCGTTCCACATTGCTTCCGGTATAGACGGGTCGTCAACGAGGGGCTGCATGAAAAAGAGCTGAAGCGGCGTATATTTTGCTATGACTCTTGTGCGGCTTTTGTGCGGTATCATGTACCAGAACTCTCGGTCTATCTTGCCAATACGATGGGAGTTGTGTGTGATTTTGTGTCGGTTGGCAACCCAGTGCTCACGCTGAAGAGCCATCTGGCCATGGCGGGTGAAGAGATATTCAATGGCGCCCCTGATGGCTTCGCTGATCTTGGCCTTGTCCCCTATCACGGGGTTCTTGTGCAGGCTTTCTGGAAGGAAGAGGTCGTGAAGTGGCGATGCCTGGAAGTATTCGCCTGTCAATTCGTCCTTGTAGTCCTCGATGTTGTGATTTGTGCCCATGGCATTGGCACCGTTGTCGAGGAGAATCTTGATGTGAGCAAGATTAAGCTGCCGGCAAGCGAGGTTTAATGCCGTCTGAGGAATCGTGCCCGCTAAAATTTGGCTGACAGAGTCACCAATATCAATCAGCGTGTTGCGCTCGGGGCCGCCGCCAGTGATCTCATTGACATCGATTCCCGTGTTGATTAGTTCCTGCACAGCTGATCCACAGTTCTTTTGGCTCAGACAGACGGCGTGTAACGCGTTGAGACCGACTCTGCGAGGTGTCTGTACGGAAGCACCGACCTGTAGAAGCTTGCGAATCATTTGCGCAGAGACGGCATGATGGATGACGGGAATGTTCGGACCGTGGGAGGCTTGGCCTCCATGATCTAATTGCGCCCCAGACTGCATTAGGGTGTCTACTAAATCGACGTGATCCTGGGCAACGGCATGAGCGAACATTCTTGTGTTGGGGTCGGCAATGTACCGGTCCTGGGATTGAGGTGTGACTTTTTCAAGTATCAACCGGAAAATTTCTACTGCGTTTTTGGGTGCCAGCAAAGCCAAATGAAGAGGTGACCTGACGCAAAAACGGTTGACGCTCATCGCATTACGGAGTTGCGTGGTGAAGCTTTCGACCAGAGGAGCAACTTGCCACCTCTGTTCCAACCCCTCGAGGTCTCTGACATTAGCGCCGGCATCGAGGAGTAGGTGGACGCTCTGCAAGTGGCCCATGTATGTCGCGGCCATGACGGGGGACAATGCAGCGTGACCGAAACCTGTTGGAGTGTAGTTTGGATCCGCACCCGGCTGCTTCAAAGCGTTACTCAGTAACGTCGCATATCCTCTCGAGGCAGCGAAGTGGATGGCCAGCGGATTCTCGCTGGCAGCATCCCATCTGAGAGCGATGGATAGAATTTTCTCGCGAAAGTACCGGGAAACTGTGCTAGCCCGGAGCATGGACAGAGTAGGACATTCCTGCAGGCAGACTGTTACTTGCCTCACCGCATGATCGATGTTTTGCTCGGAATCGTCCTCGGCCAGAGAGCCGTTCGCTTCATCTTGAGCCAACTGATTTTGAAACGAATCGCTCATGATTATAATTCCTAGTTCTTCGGCGATGCGCAGAAAAAGTTCAGGAGGTAATCTGACTTGGAAATCGCCCATCGCGCCATTGAGGCCCTGGACCCTTGTCATGATGTTGTGTGACATTGTGTGGGTTGGTCAAGTGCGTTCTAGTTGGTTTTGGAGAATCGAGTCTGAATTTCTTTTGCCATTAATGCTGTTACCCGACTGGAAGATTGGGTCGAGGGGGGAAAGAGAGAGAGCTTATATGTTTAGCTGTTCTTAAGTACCATTCAGCATGCTTGGAGATTTCAAAGAGCAATTGTGTAATGACAAGCGCATTGTGTTGGTCGATGTTTGATCAAAGAACGCCTTGTCCGAGTTTCGACGGCGTGATTCATTTCTAGACTGCGTGAACTGGCTCGTAGCTGACGATGTACTTGCACCGCAGCGGAGACCGACATGTTGTTTCTTACATCATATCGCGATTGATATCCTTATTTTGTTTTCATTGTTTCCTTTCTCTTTATGTTCATATCAAAGAGTTACATGTATTTTTTACCACTTGGCGTCCTTGCTGGCGAGGAAGCCCTTGAGGATGCCGACAATCTTCTCGAGGGCGGCGAGGTAGACGCGAAGCTGGGAGGCGACCTTGTCCTGGTCGTCACCAAGCTTGGCGTAGAAGTCCTTGCGGTAGGGGCAGGCGCTCATGGCGGCGCTGAAGATGGGCTTGACGAGGAAGCTGTGGTGGGGCTTGAGGGTTGTGCTGTAGGCGTTGCGGAAGGACTCAGAGAGCTCCTCGGACTCCTTGGCGACGTTCTGGCTGAGGGCGATGCAGGTGAACTCGAGGCCACTGCAAACAATGCCGTTAGCTTCTGTCTTTCTTCTCTGGCCAGGAATTGCGTAGGGAGTCTTACCGAGTCAACCAGAGGAGACCCTCGGTGGCGACGTGCTTCTTGGTGGCCAGCTCGTTCTTGACAAGCTCCTGGAGGTTGGCGGACTCGCCGGGAGCGGCGAGCTGACGGTCACGGATCTTCTGTACGTCGGAAACGAATCAGCCATTGTTTGCGTGGACTCGGAGGTATTGTCGGCTGTGGAGAGACTCGGAGGCAGGGAGACGACAGGGAGAGCGTCGTCAAAGAGGGGTGTTCCGTACCTTGATGTTGCCGCCCATGTCGCTCTTAACGGGGCCGAAAGCGACACCACCGAGGGCATCTGTGGAACAGCTCGTCAGAAAAAGGAAGCATTGAGCACGCGAAGTGATTGTTGGGCTTACCGAAGATGGTGGTCAGAGACTCGGCGGCATCGAGGAACTCGGAGGTAGCAATGGCATTCTCCTTGTCGGCGTCGACAGGGACGTCGACAAAGGACTTCTTGAAGGTGTCGAGGTAGGTGCCTCCGGGGGGGATCTGAGCAGTGGCCATTGTGTCTGTTTGATTGTTTGGATCTTGTTTGTTGGAAAGAAGGAAGAAAGGAAGAAAGAAGCAAGACTGAAGGGAGAGAGAGTGGAGGGAAGTTGTTGAGGTCAATGGAATCGGGAAAGTTCAAGCTGTCCCTTGAAACTGCACCGGCACCGGGAATCGAGGGGCGGTCAAGCAAGCCTGCGGAAGCCACGCACCACCACAACCAGCAGCAGCTCACCTCATAGCGGGGAGCGGGGACCTCAGACACCCTGGACGATGGAGGTGCTGCCATGTCCAGGGCCTGGCGACCCCACTGGAGCAATGCAGCAATGCCACTGGACTGGCATCCGGTGTCTGTCTGGCAAGGTGTCTGGCTGGCTGGTATTGCTGGGTGGACGGTGGACAGTGGGTGGACTCGCCTGGACTGCACTGGGCCGCTGGGGCCATTGGAGAAGGGCGCTAGCGATCGAACTGCAGCTGCTGCAGTGGGGCGAGGGGGCCAATAGTCGCTGTCCAGCGTCCCTGATACACCGTACAGTGCCAGCTAGATTACCCCTCATTCCTGCTCATCTGCGTAAGAGCCCGTCCCAGGGAAACAAACCACTGTGCATGGACGCATACGGCACGGTGCAGCGCGGGGTCGCGGAAAAAGGAGACTGCGGAGCTCCGGCCAGTCGGGCGGCTTCCCTCTGCCGTGCCGCCGGCCCAGATCAGGGTCTCCCCTCGCAGTCTCCAGTCCCGATCATGAACTCACCATCGTGTTCCTGAGATTCCCCTTGTGTGGCTTCGTCTGATTTACCATTCGTCTCTGAGAAGCTCGCGGGTCCTCGCTGCGAACGAAACTACGAACAATTGAACTCTGTTTACACTGCGGGACGAACCGCCACAGCTCCCACTTCGCTACCACCTCACTTCACAGGTCAACAGCACTGACTTTCGACACTTGATAAACGCAGTTATCTCATCATTCACCATGGCGGTGGGGTCGACGCTCTCATCTGTGCCAGACACGGCGCAGATTAAATCCACAGAAACCGGGGGACGGGCACCGCGAAACATCGTCACCAGCATCAACTACTACGACGACCCTGGCGACGGATCCTCTCCGCCCCCAGTCGTCGTTGGGGGGTAAGACGCTTTTCGTCGTCTCCCAGAACTCTCTCAGTGGCCTCATGCATACACGTGTGTGCGTACAGATAACTCATCTCTCGTCACCAGCCAGAAAGTCACAAATGAGCGGAAAATGATCCCTCATACCATGACCGTCACCGACGTCACCGGCAACGAGGACACCTTCACCCTCGACTCCCACGGCTTCCAGTACCTCCGCCACGCAAGTGTCGAGACGGACTTTACAGACGAGGAGCGCATCAAGAACGTCTACTACCCCGAGGCCGAGAAGCTCTACAAGGAAATGTAAGTCCATATTTTTCTGCGTTTTCCCCTGTGAACCCTTCCTTCTAAGTGGACGGAACGGTGGGAGCGGTGTAAGGAACACCGGTGGGCCGCAATCAAGTCGCAATCAAGAGAAGATACCCCCATGCTCACCAGGGTGGTTCCTCGTCCGAACCATGCAGCACGGGTGCCAGCAGAGTCGTCATCTTCAACCACCAGATCCGCCGCGGGCCGGCCAACTGGCACTCCCTCGGCGAGCGCAACACGGAGCAGCGCGGGCCGCTGCACAAGGCCCACGTCGACCAGTCCTACGACGGCGCCCTCATGATGGCCCGCCACCACCTCGGCGCCGAGGCCGACGAGCTGCTCGCGCCCGGCCGCCACCGCTTCCAGATCATCAACCTCTGGCGGCCCATCAATCCCGTCCGCAAAGACCCGCTGGCCGTCGCCGACGGCAACTCGGTCGCCGAGGCGGACCTCGTCGCGGGCGCCATCATCTACCCCCGCCACCGCGCCGAGACGTGGACCATCAAGGCGAACCCGGCGCACCGGTGGTACTACAAGGACCAGCAGCGGCCCGACGAGCCGCTGCTCATCAAGTGTTTTGACTCGGATACGTCGGTGGTCAGGCGGGCGGCGCATTGTGCTTTTCGGGACCCGGAGATGGACGGTGAGGAGCACCGGCAGAGCATCGACATACGGGCGCTGGTGTTTCACTGAAGTGTGCGTGTTGACTGGCTTACATGAATATGGAAATGGAGTGAACAGAGAGCGACTTAGACCTGTCTTACTTTTTTTTACCGTTGAAGCAAACGGATGACAACGGTATTTCCTGTGAGACGCTGGCGGAAAGGAGGCGTCCACGTGGGAAAGAATACACGATTTCTAGACACCCCTGTTTGACCAGCACGTGGAATGAGCTACAACGGCTGTGATCGATCTGCCCGCGATGATGTTCAACTAGGGTGTTTGCGCTAACCGGGCAGGTCTCAGACCTCGCGTTCCCCAGGTTCAGAGATTTTGACTCTGCGTCGGAAGCTACGAGTGCCCGCCTGAGATGGCCGGAGCTTGGCGAGAGCCTCATTCTAATGAAGCTGTGATGCACCGCACCCTAGGCTACCTTGAAGCAAAATTCTAGCAATCGAGACGTATCCTGTGACGGACGTGATCAAGCGACCTGATTTCTTGCTGATAAATCCCCATCGTCCAATACATTGCTCTTTGCGACAACGACAACATCATCTGCCGAGTTGAAGCCAGCACCCCCATCCGAGCGTGCATGGATAGCCTCCCCAAAGTTGAGCCGCTGCTGGATAAGCTTGTATTTCGGCAAATTTTGCCTCGTTACAAAATAGAGCTTTGCCATCCAGAGTGCCGGTGACTTCACAAGCCAGGATGGCAAGGGCAATGGTGTCGCCGAGGCCAGTTCGTTTGGTGATGTGACGTCAGAGAGCCTCGTCAACCGAGTTCGGAGAGGCTCCGTCGTGTTACCTCTCATTCAGGCAATTGAGATGGCACCATCGCTTGCCATGCTGTGCGATGACTAGGACAAGCCGGTACTCGGCACCTGCACATTGTTCTTGCCTTCTTTCTTTTCTTGGGAAATGCTTGGAAGGACCGGTGGAAGCTGCACATGTCGGTAAGGTACCTTCTCACAGCAGCAGCTGGCCCTTCCTGGCCTGCCTTGGGGAGAGGAGGTTGGCTCCTGCCACAGCTCAGCTCAGCTCAGCTCGGGTCACTGCCTTATCGATACGTCGTGTTGCCCCGCTTATTCTGTCTCATCAGCCAACCGCTGTCTGCCGTTGACAAATGACGTCAAGACGAAAATAGAGCAGCAGCCCACCTGCCTTCCAACTCTGCCACCAGTGACGGCGTTGCTCTGACCAATTCCAATTTGGGTTCGGCTGCTCTTCCCTGCCACCGGCGCATCGAGCGCGGGGCTCTTGTCTTTTTACGTTAATTTTGTTTGACAGCTGTTCCGATATGTTGTTTTTCTCTTCGGTTCAGTGCGAATGCGGCAGGTCCAATGACTTTGGGCTAATGTCTGGCTGAAGCTAGAGTGCCACGAACAACTGGAGCACGCGAGCCCTTGCTGGGCTGAGGAACGCTGCAAATGCACGACGAAAAGCCCCGCCGCTGCTGTCACCCGTCACACTCACCCCTCCTTCAGCTGCGAACTGCAAACTGCGAGCTGCAGAGTCTGCGCTGTGCTGTCCCAATTCCTCTTGGAGCCCGAGTCTATTCTCTCAGCAAAGTGCCCAGCCACCAATTGCCATCGCCAATGGCCCTGGAAGAGGCGCAAGACGCGCGGCTTCGCATCCCGTCGGGGCAATCCGTACCACCCCTCGGGATCCTGCCCTACCGCACTCTGCCCTTTTGCCCTCCCATTCTTGGCCCGATGGAGGGTGAGCTTCCAGGTTTGTGGCCCAGGTGGGAGCCTCTTGGTTGGCGGTGTTCCTGAGCACAGCGTGGCATCGAGGCAAGGGGCCAAGACCACCACCATGGGCGAATCTTGCATCGGATCACCGCGGCTCTGTTCGGCCTGCTTCATATCGACAGAGAGGCAAGCAGGCAATCAATTCTCCCTCGCAAAATGACAAGAATCGACCCAGCGGATCGTCAGATGCCCCGCCTCTAGCTCGTCAAATGGCACTCTAGCCTTGTCGCCAGCGTCGCCCTGTCTCACCACCAAAACCGTCCCGGTCCCAGCCCAGTCAGTGTCCCAGCGCCGCCCACACTTTTAGCCCTCCTCCGTGCCCTTCCAAAGTGGAATCCTGCTTTTCTTCCTTGCCTTGCTACAGTCCGCTCCTCCTGCTTCCGGCCGAGCTATCTGACCTCACTCCCGCCCACCTGGACTGGACTCTCCGCCGTCCCCGTATGACATAGCCCTTGGGTTTCAAGCTTTCCCATAAGCTTTTGTCGCGCGCCCTCCTCCATTCCCTCTTCCGTCTTCCCGTCTTGTCTACACTTCTCTGCCATCTCAAGCCTCACCCAAGCTCCAGCCCAAGCTTGCCGTTATCCCGTGTTGGTTGGAATGCAACGGCTTGCCCACTCCACCGCCCCTCGCTTTACCCCGCGAACCCTGTGATACCCCTCCATACCATTACGAATTCATGATCTAGACACTAGCCAACGCCCATTGATACCCGTTTTCCGCCGTTCCATCCGTCGCCAAGATGTTCACCACCGACCACAAGGACGACAACCCTGAAAATGAGAGCTTCTTCCACAAACTGAAGAAGCCCTTCCGCGAGCTCGAGGAGAAGCTCGAGGGCACCCACCTCCACGACGCCAAAGTCCACCTAACCCACAAGAAGCACCAAATCGGCAAGTTTGCCAACCTCGTAAGCTCCCATCCCCGTTTCGGCCTGCTCAATTTGCAAGCGCCAGTCACGAAATTAACCCGTGCGCGCACCAGTTCAACGCGAACCACCGCCACGACGAGGAGCACGAAAAGGCGACCGACGACAAGCGAGCCAAGATCGCCGAGGAGCACCGCTTCAAGTCCTTCTTCCCCGAGCGCGACGGCAACCTCATCAAGTGGTATGTCGACGGCCGCAATTACTTCTGGGCCGTCTCCGAGGCCCTCGAGCAGGCCAAGGAGACCATCTACATCGCCGACTGGTGGCTGTCGCCCGAGCTGTTCCTCCGCCGCCCGCCGCACTACAACCAGGAATGGAGACTGGACAAGGTCCTGAAGCGCCGCGCCGAGGCGGGAGTCAAGATCTTTATTATTGTTTACCGTGAGGTTGAGGCTGCACTGACGTGCAACTCGGCGCACACCAAGCACGCCCTGCAGGCCCTCTGTCCCGAGGGTACCCCTGGATATGGAAACATTAGAATCATGCGCCACCCTGACCACAACGTCTTTGAGAACGCCGCCGACATGACCTTTTACTGGGCTCACCACGAGAAGTTCATCGTCATTGACTATGCGATGGCCTTCATTGGAGGCCTCGATCTCTGCTTCGGTCGCTGGGACACTAACGACCACCCGCTTGCCGACGTGCACCCCGAAGGTGTGCAGAATGAGGTCTGGCCTGGCCAGGATTTCAACAACAACAGAATTATGGACTTCCAGAATGTACAGGACTGGAAGCAGAATGAGCTGAGCAAGGCGCAGTACGGACGAATGCCGTGGCACGACGTCTCAATGGGTGTCGTTGGACCCTGCGTCTACGATATCGCCGAGCACTTCGTCTTGCGCTGGAACTTTGTGAAGCGTGACAAGTACAAGCGCGACGACCGGTTCGACTGGATCCAGCTTCAGAACCGGCTGAATGAGGATGAGGATCTTGTGGGAGTGCAGAGGCCTAAGCACCCGGTGGGCGACTACGTCACTCACCCTCTCAGCGACCTCAGCTCCAAGAACTTGGAAAACCGCGGCACCATGCATGCCCAGGTTGTCCGCTCAAGCGCCGACTGGTCAAGCGGTATCCTGACGGATCACTCCATTCAGAACGCCTACTCTGAGATTATCCGCAAGGCCGAGCACTTTGTCTACATTGAGAACCAGTTCTTCATCACGGCCACTGGAGACCAGCAGTCGCCTATCCACAACACCATCGGCCGCGCCATTGTCGATGCAGTCGTCAGAGCTGGCAAGGAGAACCGCAAGTTCCGCGTCATTATTCTCATCCCTGCCATCCCCGGTTTCGCTGGTGACCTCCGTGACGACGCTGCCACTGGTACCCGTGCCATCATGGACTACCAATTCAAGTCAATTTGCCGTGGGGAGCACTCCATCTTTGAGCAGTGCCGAGCCCAAGGCGTCGACCCGAGGAACCACATTTTCTTCTTCAACCTGCGCTCCTACGACCGGTTGAGCAGAACCTCGGCTGTCGAGAAGAGAGAGAAGGACACTGGCGTTAAGTATTTGGAGGTCCAGCGCGCGCAGGCCGAGGAGGTCATGGGTGCTGGTATCCACGGGACCAAGGACCCTGTCGCGGGGGAACGCGACACGCATATGGGTTCCGTGAAGGATCAGTCTGGAAATGGCCGCCCTCAAGAAGCCAGGGATGCGCTGGATGCCAAGAAGAAGTTCGAGGCAAGCTTAGGCGAGAACGGACACAAGACCGTCTACTCAGTTGCTCATCACGCCATGGCCAACTCTGGCTCTATTGAGGAAGAAATATGGGACGACGAGGACCCCGAGACTGAGATCCGCAACTGGATCCAGGAGGAGCTCTACATCCACTCCAAGTTGCTCATCGCCGATGACCGTATCGTGGTGTGCGGTTCCAGCAACCTCAACGACCGCAGTCAGGTCGGCCACCACGACAGCGAGCTGAGTATCGTCATGGAGGATACCAAGCATGTGACCAGCACGATGAACGGACAGCCGTATGAAGCAGGATGGCACGCGACATCACTTCGACGCTACCTCTGGCGCGAGCACCTCGGTCTCCTCCCTTCCCAGGAGTTGGACGGCAGCAAGGACATCAACGCACGTCCTCCGGGCGAGGACTCGCCCAACGATCCGTGGGACCGCGACGACAGCTGGAAGTTTACCGAGGATCCCCTCAGCGACGAGTTGTGGGACATGTGGACGACAAGAGCGACCAAGAACACCGAGATGTTCAGGCACCTGTTCCACGCTGATCCCGATGACCACAGTAAGTACACGGAATGCTATTCTATCAAGGCAAGTCTAACTCGGTCACAGTCAAAACTTTTGAGGACTACGACAGATATCTGCCTCCCAAGGGACTCAAGTCGGGCCACATTTTCGACCAGTTCATGCCTGCCGCCGATGCGCGAAAGAAAATTGACCAAATCAAGGGTCACCTCGTGTGGTTCCCGCTTGACTTCCTGCGCGACGCCGAGATGGCTGAGAAGGGTCTGCAGGTCAACCAGTTCACAGAGAGTGTGTACACGTAAAACTCGGATTACACAGGAACAGATTTGGGAGGAAAGAGATGGATACAATATTACTACGACTTATGGCTTAATGTATAAATATAGGCGTCCGTTGACGCCTCAGCTGGTTCTTTGGAGCCATCAATGCAAACAAAATTCTACTTCGAAGTCTCGCCCTCAATTTGGGAAAACTAGCTGCTGCTTCTCAACGTGGACGACCTTTGTCACCCCATCCAGATCCTCCACCATCCGAGCGATCCTCTCATAATTAGGATACAACCGGCCCATCTCAGTACCAGCTTTGCATCCCCATCGGTAGAAGATGTACAGGTTGAAGTCCACCACAGTCAACCCATCACCAACAGCGAACTCCCTCCACGCCAATCTCTCATCAATCCTCGCATAACACTCATCAATAACCTCCTGTCCTTTCTTCACAACTTCAGTCTTCGCCTCCTCTCCATGCACAAACCTCTCAGGCCGCAGTACACCAGCGTAGCCTAAGCTATGCAGCGTCCCCGACAGCCAGCACACCCACTCATACACCTTGGCCCGCTGCACCGCCGTCCTGCCGAGGAGATTCTGGTCTGGGACGAGGGAGGCGATGTAAGTGAGCACGGCGGGCATCTCTGTGATGACCGTTTTGTCCACGCTGCCGTCGGGCATCTCTGTGGTGTTGTCGGTGACGACGAGACACGGGACGTAGCCCGTCGGGTTGATGCGGCGGTACTCTTCATGGGTCAGCGAGCCGTCGGCGGCGCGGTAGCGGCCCCCGATGCCGTTGGTGCCGTCTGGCGTGGGCTCCATCTCGACTGCATTAAAGGGGATGGCGAAGTGGGTGAGGATGCTGTGCGGGACGAGGGAGCAGGCGCCGTTGGTGCGGTAGAGGGTGATTTTGGGGCTGGGCATTTTGGCGGTGACTTTAACTTCGACTTTGGATTGGTAAGGGCACTTCGATGAGCTGTGATCTGGCATTTAACATAGCCATATATTTCATATCGTTACAACTTCTGGGCTCTTTAAATACACACTAATATCATACCAACCGTCGCCTGCATATCGCGCCCTTCACAAATCAGATTGTCATGAGATGATTTGTTGTTGAATAAGCTGGACGCAAATAAGATCCGTCGTCTCTTTGTACTACAAAACCTAAAGAGATGACAAAATAAGCAAGACGGAAAAAGTGTCCGACCCGGAAGGATCATGAACTATTTTAGTTCCAGGCTTACTTACAACGAAGCCGACCTCTTCACCGAAAGCTCACCGAGATCCTTACCAGCATTCTTCGGTGTATGCGGGGTAGCGGGGGAGCCCACACCGATCCCACACTGAGGTGCACAGTGCCACTTTAGCCGCAATTGGGTGGAGGAGTCAACGGAACCCCTCCATTGACTCACTTTTTGGGTAAATTTGGCCATAAGTCGACCACGCCGCACCCTCCACCGTCCGCCCTCGACGACCACGAATTCTCGATTGCGAACGTTCACGAAGCGATTGGGCACTACTGCAGAAACAACAATGGCCTCCGCACCCGAAGCGCCGACCGCCGCGGTCCCCGTCGAGGCCGTGGAGCCTGCCGCCGCCAGCACCGGAGGACAGAAGGTCGATCCTTGGAACGTGTCTGGCGAGGTGGGCGAGGATGGAAAGGTCAAGGCGATTGACTACAAGGTATGCAATAACGCTGGAGGGAGTCTGCCGATTGGGCGTTGTGTGCTCTTGTTGCGCCCCGCGGGGGAGTCGTTCGACTGCCTGCTGTCTGCAATGCTTGAGGCCAGCCAGCTAACAAGGGGCCACGCGACAGAAAATCGTCGACGAGTTCGGCACGAAACTGATTGACGACGCCCTCCTCGAGCGCTTCGAGCGCGTCACCGGACATAAGCCGCACCACTTCCTGCGCCGGCAGATTGTCTTCTCCCACCGCGACCTCGACCTCATCCTCGACCGCTACGAGAAGAAGGAGCCTTTCTTTATCTACACTGGTGCGTTTGGAACTCGCAGGAGGCTTGGGAGGCAGATATGGGGAGGGGTTGGTTGCTGACGAGGTGGTAGGCCGTGGACCCAGTTCCGACAGCATGCACATTGGACACGTCATCCCTTTCCAGTTGACGAAGTGGTTGTCGGATGTCCTTGATGCGCCGCTGGTGGTATGTTTTTCTCCGGTTCCTGAGGACTAGGATTGGTTACTGACATGTGGTAGATCATGATGACTGATGGTATGAAACTCAATGGCTCGCGAGGGAAGTGGTCTAACTCCATACGCAGACGAAAAGTTCCTGTTCTCTGAGAAGAGGACAGTCGAGGAGGTTATGCACTACACGAGAGAGAACGCCAAGGACATGTGAGACGAGAAGCTCCCTTCTCCCAGGACGGACACTAACACCAACAGCATCGCCATCGGCTTCAACCCCGAGCGCACCTTTATCTTCTCCGACTACGACTACATGGGCGGCGCCTTCTACAAGAACATCACCCGCGTCGCCAAGCGCATCACCGTCAACACCGCAAAGGCCGTCTTCGGCTTCGACGACTCCTCCAACATCGGCAAGGTCCACTTCGCCTCCATCCAGGCCTCCTCCTCCTTCGCCAACTCCTTCCCCCACATCTTCGGCGACGACGAGGCCCGCACCACCCAGATCCCCTGCCTGATCCCCTGCGCCATCGACCAGGACCCCTACTTCCGCGTCACCAGAGACTGCGCCGCCGGCCTGCGCTACGCCAAGCCCTCGCTCGTGCACTCGCGCTTCCTCGACGCCCTGCAGGGTCCAGGGTCCAAGATGTCCGCGTCGATCGAGAGCAGCGCCATCTTCATGAAGGACACGCCCAAGCAGATCCAGAACAAGATGAACAAGTACGCCTTCAGTGGTGGCAAGGTCACGGCTGAGGAGCAACGTGCCGAGGGCGCCGATCCCGATGGTTTGTCCTAATTCCCCCCTTTGCGCAGTCGTGTGTCTAACAGAAACCGCAGTCGACGTCTCCTACCAATACCTCCGCTTCTTCCTCGAAGACGACGCCGAGCTCGCCCAGATTCGCGAGGACTACCGCACCGGCAAGATGCTCACGGGCGAGATCAAGAAGCGCTGCGCCGAGGAGCTGGGCAAGTACTGCACCGCCTTCCAGGAGCGCCGCGCCAAGGTCAACGAGGACACGGTCGACCTCTTCATGGCGCGCCGGCCGCTGGTCTGGGCCGGGGCTGAGAGCCTCAAGAGCCTGCCCGTCCGCCCTGCGGAAGGTGCTGGTGCGCCCGCGGAAGGCGGCGACGGCAAGATGACCAAGAACCAGCTCAAGAAGCTCGAGAAGCAGAAGCAGATTGAGGAGAAGAAGGCGAAGAAGGCGCAGGAGAAGGAGGCTGCCAAGGCGACTGCCGAGGGGGCGTAGAAATGGAGAAATGAAAAGGTTAGAAGGTGCAAAATATACCCAACAAGATTTGAGTTCTTGCGAGTTTGGTTCTTGGATTGTGATTTTGAGCTTGCAGCTCTTCGCGATGAAGCTATCACTGACGTCAGACGGTACATATTGACACTTGAAGGATCACATTCCCAGTCGTTCCCCCTCTACAGTTATAAGTACGGACATCTCTGCAAAATCGCCGACGCGGATCAGCATAGGCGTTAAGAGTCGCCCGTCGGCGTTTAGTTATCTCACCCCGGATCGCCGATGAGACGTCCGTCACGGTGTAAGTCGTGTATGACAATGCATGAGAGCAGTGAGTTACCGTAAGACCAAATACATCCTCTGTCTTGATTCGTCCGCAGATTCCCTATATAAATGTAGCCTTTAGCATAGGGAGTCATAGGACATGAAACAATCTCATCTTCTCAACTCAGTCTTGCACCATACCATCTAAACACCACAGCAATGTCTCTCAAAGGCAAAGTCGCAATTGTCACAGGCGCCTCCCGCGGTCTCGGAGCCGGCATGGCCCTCGAACTAGCCCATAAAGGCGCATCTGTAAGCTTCCATCTCATCTTCCCCCTTTCCTCACCCTCACTCACCACACACAGGTAATGCTCCTCTACACATCCAACTCCAGCACCCCCAAAGTCACCGCCCTCCTCGCCCAAATCGCATCCCTCCCACACTCTTCCCCCACCACATCCTGTCAAACAGACCTCTCCCTCCCCTCCGCCCCGTCCACCGTCCTCGCCGCACTCGCCGCCTGGCCCGCAGCCTCAGGCAAACTCGACATCCTAGTCAACAACGCCGGCACCGAACTCAACGCCCCCCTCGGCTCCATCACGCCGTCCGACTTCGCATCTGTCTATGATCTCAACGTCCGGGCACCGCTGCTCCTAACCCAAGCCCTGCTGCCGCACCTCAACCCCCGCGCGCGCATCATCAACATCTCCTCCGTCGGGGCGCGGGCGGGGTTCGCGGGGCTGGGGCTGTACTGCTCGTCGAAGGCGGCGCTGGAGGGGTTGACGCGGTGCTGGGCGCGGGAGTTAGGGGGCAACGGCACGACGGTGAATTGTGTGGCGCCTGGGCCGGTGCAGAGCGATATGCTGGAGAATATTCCGAGGGAGATTGTGGAGATGCAGATGACGCAGACGCCGGTGGGCAAGAGGGTTGGTACTGTGGAGGAGGTCGCGAGGATTGTGGGATGGTTGGCGGGCGAGGAGGCGGCGTGGGTTAGTGGGCAGGTTGTGAGCGCTAGTGGGGGGTGGGCGATGTATTGAGATGTTTGGGTTGGGGATGAAGAAGTGGGAGATCATGAGGATGACTGTTATCTGGGTTGGGGGTTGACATGAGAGATCTCGTTGGATGGGACTGGAGGAACAGCCGGCGTTGGTCTGGAGCCAGGGACAGAAGGCATTGATATGCTGCGGGGCTGAGGAGAAAAGAGTCTGAGGTCGAGTTTCTTCATCAATCGGCGCCAAAGACAAGCATTAGCTGCCAATCTGACCTGACGCAACAAGAGTTATGCTATAAAAGTGGCGGCAGTGGCAACTTGTTTCCTCTCTCATCAGAATAGGTTTTCTTGTCGTTTTGGATTCCAGTCACATATTCGAGTTTCTTTCTCCAAGGCATATTACAACCGGAGTCTCAGCGTCTTCCAAAACAATAACGCCATCTGACCAACACTACTAGACATACTTAAGGTGCAGTATTATCACACCTAATAAGCTGTCAGAGACAAAAATGACGAAGAAAGAAGATATTATAAAACATGCCGGGAACATGCAGTCGCTCATTGTTGTCTAGGAGGACTTAAATATGGCTCATTGTGGCCTTGTGAAGATGCACTACCGTGAAAGTATGATCCTTTGCGTCTGGCATGCATTGCTGCTCAGAGAATATTCTGCTAATGAAGTTGTATCAGAGTGTTGTTAATAAAAGTATAACGGGCTGGGATTGTCAGAATAGAGCTGGGCAAGGTGGCTGGCTGTATTGAGCCAGATCCCATGGAAGGTTGCAAAAGCTACAGCATCTAAGCATGTTCATATCTGCAGAAAGTGGGATGTAAACGTCGTATTGATGATACCTATCTTGGCCAGAAAGCTAACCAAAGCAGCCCTGAAACGCATCGATGGTCGCTTATGATTCGTTTCCTCCCAGTGGGAGCTCATGTCTATAAAACGATACATTTTTGTGTCGTATGAGTGATACAGCCAGGCAATAAAACTTCTCGCTGACAGATGGTGCCATGACGCGCTGAGAAACGTTGATCGCGTGTCTAAAGCATGTGAGAAGACTGGCATGGATGATGATCATACACGTTGAAGGTTCTTGACGTATGGCGTCGGCGTTTACCATTTTTGCCCGTTTATTTTTTTTGGTGATGACCTTTGGCACTGCTCTAACATCTTGGGTTCGTCTAATACGTTCTCAGCAAGAAGATTAAGCCATTTACTCAAAACACTGTGATAGCGTTAGATGTCCATTCGTTGTTTTCCCAGCAAAAACTTTCTTAATCTCCATCACGCTGCTTATGATGTCTCCTTTACGCAATATCAAAACGCACCAGACTTAACTGCATTACCTTTCTACTATAAGACAGGTGATTCAACTTCGTAGGAACAGGAAAAGATTTGCTAATGGCGGGCGCCAGCCTCAGCCCCTTTTTCAGTTTTCCGTGCAATTGTTTGGCCACTTGGCAAGATCAATACCTTTGGTGGTCCAATCCTCGTTGGACCTGCTTTCTGCTGTCCTCCCTGTCTGTTTGGACTGTCTCGCTTGTACTCTGGAGGCGTATGAAGTCGTCTAATTTCACTAGCCGCATGAAGCTGTTCATATTGTAATAATATAAACAGAGAGAAGAATCAAATGAGACATCAGGCAAAGGTTGTGACTTTGGTCACGCCTCAACTCCCGCAGTCATCTTCGCTTTTTGGTATACCGTACTATATAGCGCCTGGGTTCTTTCTTATAGTAGTCATGAATACTTTGTGCAAGCGCGCAACTGCCAGCAGGGAATGCCACGTAGGATAAAGCATGTATTGAAAAGTCCGTGGCGTATTGCAGACCAATAAACGTAACGGGGGAGAACCAAGGGCGGCGAGAACGGCTTTCGTTTCATTTCAAACCAAATAAATTGCAATTAGAACAAGGGAAATGAGGCCGAATCCCATGAAAACAAAATTGTGGTAGCAAAAGCTGTTGAGCCGTAGAATGACATTCCTTCGGACCAATGCTGGCCTGACGTCTACCAGTCGTCACGTCGGATTTTGTGCTCATCACCATTACCTTCTTCAGTGGAGTGAGCAAGTATGCCGTAATCAGAGTCGCGTATAAGTAAGACGCAAAACATAGACATCATCTGTGCACATCAGAGCACGAATGATAGTACTCTCGTATGTCTCATCACCCGCAAGATGAATGATTATCTTCGCAAGACTGGTAGGGTGACAGCTGTTGGATGTCTGTTTTTCTTTCCTCGGTATTTCTTTTTTTGCGAGTGCCTCCCGTCAACTTGTTTGAAGTATTGACCTAAAGTTGGCGTGAGTATTAAGCTCTAAGATGACGCGAATGATCATTCAATGTTCGAGCGCAAGTCTTCTAAGTCTCCGAGAATGCCTTTTCAACCAATCACTGGGAACTTAGCCACCCGATGGAAGAAGACCAGGAATTATGCTTGATACAGCAAGGCGTCTAGCATCCCAAGGGGGACTGATTTGTTACGGCTGCTGGCGAGGCAGCTTGTGTTATGCAGCTTGTGTTATGCAGCTTGTGTTATGCAGCTTGTGTTATGCAGCTTGTGGTACTTGCTACAGGCCCGCAACACGATATCCTCGCGTGAAAGAGTCAAGACACAGGGGGCGGCGAGGTGTTATTAAAAGATGTTCACATAGAAAGACATCTCTACTATAGCCCCTGGTTTCCGACTTATCGCAATGGATCGGCGTAAGAACACAGTTAAAACTCCTAACTTGATGGAAAAATGAGTATTATGCTTGTGTTATTAACAAGACATCGTAGACTCTACGCATCTCATGAGTGAATCATAGTCAATTAAAGGCACCTCAGAGTGTTGTTATTTCCAGAGTATTATCGGTTAATACTACGGAGTGGGGAGGCCTTGGATGAAGACGAGAATGTACCTTGAAGCAATACGAGATGTGTGTTCATTCGTTGCCCCGCATGCAGGATACCTGCCGCTGACAGCATGAAGCTGGAGTCATCAAGATCGACAATCGTGCTATAAGGGCTTTCCTCTCATTGAATACGATGCTATTTATCTGCCGTATGAGACGTATCTATTACATCACGTGGCGCAGGCATAAAACGTGGTCAATCATTACAATCCAATACGAAAGGACGACATTGCTGAAACCGTTTTCGGCGTTGATACCTTAGCGATGATTTCACCGTCATGAATTCGTCTCAGAACTGCAGTCTCGAGAGGAACATTAGTCGCACGAGTTGCCCAGCCCAGCTGCCAACGTTGTTCATGCGGCCCAATATCCGTTCTTAGACTTCGTGTCCATCATCTTCCTTCTCTTTTTTGAACCTGCCGAGTATTCAAGCAAAGTTACGTGTTGAAGTATTGATTCCCGTACAGCCAAGCTAAAGTGTCGCCCGAGACGATGACGACACTTGAGCTACCTGATACTCGAAGGATGTTCCGAAATACTGTCCAGTCAACGGGAACGATGTTGAGATAAAATTTGTGCATAGGAGGGGCTGTATGGCGTCTTGGAAGCTTTTTTACATAGTCACAATATGAAGCTTGCTTGAAAACACCTGGATTAATCAGGCAGCCCTGTTCGGAATGAAAGGCCTCAAGCTGACTCGTCACTATGTACCATAATTGCCAGTGTATTCCATCAGAATGACATACAGGGCGAGACAAACGAAGTGGTCTGCAAACCAGTTATAGAACTACAGAGGAGAGTGGTGCCATGACAACGATGGAACGATGTTTGCAAGTAGTGGAGGAGAGGAGCATTGCTCAAGAGTGAACTCGCGGCCGATTGCCTTGTTCTAAATGTAGGACGAACGACCGCCCATACTGACTTGAATAGTCTTTGAGTTAAGCGATTGGATTGAAATCGAGGCAGAGTCAGGCCGGTGCCTTGAAAGAGGCACACCCTTAAGGCGAGCATCTTTAAGGGCCGGAAAGTATGGTTGGATGACGTATAAAATGGGGGCTGTCGTCAGATTCAAACGGGCTTCCGTGCGGAGCAATATTTCGGTCGCTCGACGACATCTTCATCGTGTGCCATCATTGGGCGAATGTTTGCCCTTGCAACACTTTCAAGACCACTGTTTGCAAGTTATTGGAACCTTGATGCTGTTTTCCCCTTGCTGTCCCTATGTACCCTTTCCGAGGTATTGATGGAATACTGATGCCATCTCGTGCATTCATCGAGCGCTGGCACCTGTCAGGTCAACGACGGAGGAACCAGTAGTTGCTCTATAATGGCCTCTATAATGGCAGGCTGAAGAAATCATCGCAGTCTCCTGGGTGAGATCATTGGCAAAGCAGCCGTCAGAATCGCTCCGTGTCGGCCAATATAAATATGGACGCACCTAGGCTCCCTGTTCCATGTACTGCTGTGCGGGACCGGCCACGGAAGCCCTCCTGAATCTCACTGGCATCCAGGCCAGAAGCTTACGAATCTACGATTACAGCTACACCTACTCCATTTGCGCATTACCTATGAACACAAGGCTGTAATATGTTACATATCGTCCATACTGTATCAGATGCGGTCTCTCGACATCTCAGAGCGGGTAAATATTATTCTAGATAGTGGGAGTATTCGGGACAGCCACATCGGCGCCCTGGCGTTACCTTTGACACCCCACCAACACCTATGCAAGGGCTCATTTGCCCTGGTTGAAATTCATGCTGTAGCCACCAGTGGCCTTGTCCTTGACCATCTGGAAGTTGTCGGTGCTGAGCCCAAACGGCTTGAGAATGCCGTTACCCAACTGCATCCCGGTTAGCCTCGTTCACAGCCCGGAGCCACCAACACTTACGTCTTTGAGCTTGCCCCACATCTCCGCCGTCTCCTTCTCCTGCGCAGCCTTCGTCCTCGGCGGCAGCACCCTCAACTGCGTCTGCACAATCTTCCGATCCGCGGGCGCCAGATTTGCCATCTTGGAAAGCGCCTTGTAATCCTCCTCAGCACCCGCCAGGTTCTGCCACCCGCCCTCCTCGCTGCGCGCCCGCGCCCTTCTCATCAACGCCTTGGCCCGGATCCGCAGCACGTCCTCCTGGCGCTTCTTCCTCGCGGCCTCTTCGGGGTCATCAGATCCCACCGGCGCAGGAGCGGCCTTGCTCGCACCGGAGCTGACAATCTCCTCCTCGACGTCCTCCTCCTCGGCGCGTTCCTTCTCGCGGCGCTCCTGCTTGAGAGCGGCTTCCCTCTCGATCCTGTCGAGGCCGTCGAGGGCGGCGGTGGCGCTGGAGATGGCGTCCTTCCACTGCTCGAGCTTGAGATGGCAGGCGGAGATGTTGGAGCGCAGGACGGCGAGGTCGTAGTCGAGGTAGTTGGGGCAGACGGCGACTGCCTCGTCGTATTTGTTGATGGCGGCCTCGTATTTTGAGGAGGCGAAGAGGGCGTTTGCTTCGGCCTTGTTGGCGTTGGCCTCGGCGAGGAGGGACTTGGGGGTGTTAGCTGAGGTGTTCACGAGGTTGGATGAGTGTGTGAAGCTTACCGCCTCTTCTTCAGGTGAGAACTTCTCAACCTTTTCCTCCTCGTCCTCCTTTTCGACCGTCTTGCCCTTGTCCTGGGCCTTGGCCTCAGCTTCCTTCGGCGGCATCCTGGAGTATTTTCACCCGTGTGGTTGGCTCTTGAGGGTGAAAATGCTGCGTGAGCAATGAGGTCGGGTTTTAGGCGGAGTACAGCGACAGAAAGAAGACGGTGGAAATGTCGTCACTGTCTCGCCGGATCTCCACGTGGAACGGGGCGTTGGACGTTGGAACCAGTGGGGGGTACACTGAGGCTGTTCACATGTTTTGGGGCGCAAACAGCCACTAAAATCGACCCCTCCGTCAACGGCCCTTCTGGAATCTCAGCAGCTCAGCTTTTGGGGAACGGGGCGCCGTACCCGCTGTCTCGCGGGATCTTTTAGCGAATGAGGTCGCCAGATGGTGGCAGGTGGACAGTGTGCGCCAGCGCAAAGACTGTGTCTCTCATGAAGAAGTCGAGAATAGTATTGTCGCATTGCAGTTTTCTTCAGTTTCAACATAGAAAGATCAGTTGATTCTAAATTTGACTTCAAGTGTGACATGAGGAAGGGAGGAAAATAACAAATGCCCTCAAAATCAAAGTAAGAGAAGAGTGACACAGCGCAGTTGCTGGATCTGCATCCATCTGCCCCACTTTGGTCCCTTTGGCGATTCATACCGTATTTTTTGGGAAAGAGCTGGGTGGGCTGGATCCAATTGACCCCTCCATCCTCCATTGTCGGTGCCTTCCGTCCCCGTCTTCACCCCGCTGTTCCTTCCTGCCGGCCCTGGACCTGACCTGCACCCGCACCGCACCTGCCTTTGTGACTCTCCATTGTTCCCCGGTGCCTGCCTTCCTCAATTCACCGTTGCGCCCTTTCCCAGAGAAGGAACCAAACAAACGGCCTCTTCAGACTTTTTTTTTTCTTTTCTCCAGCCTCACCTCACCTTTTTCCACTACAAAAACCCCCACCTCCAACCCAAACCCACCTCCTACCCCTCTATCACCAACAACTTCCTTTTGCGCGACAACAATCCGCCTTCTACCTTCTACCTCGCGCAACCCAATCGCACCTCCTCTACCTCTTCTGTCTTCCTTCACACACCTTCACATTCCCAAAAGCCTTCCTCAACCGTCACAATGGCTCCCCGCACTGAGTAAGTCCCATCTCCTTCCCGCGCGCGCTCCTCCCCTACCCATCCTTTGCGACTCGAGACAATGGCAATGGCTGACTTTCTGTCTCCTCCAGCTTCCCTCCCATCCGGGCCTGCCTCTTCGACATGGACGGCCTCCTCCTCGACACCGAGGACCTCTACACGGCCTGCATCAACATCATCCTCGAGCAGCAGGGCCGCCCCCTCCTCCCCTGGTCCATCAAGGCCAAGCTCCAGGGCCGCCCCGGCCCCGACGCCACCCGCCTCTTCCACGAGTGGGCTCAGCTCTCCATCTCCGAGCAGGAGTACCACCAGCAGCTCTCCGCCCTCCAGCGCCAGATCTTCCCCACCACCAAGCCCCTCCCCGGCGTCCCGGCCCTGCTCGCCAACCTCGGCCGCACCCGCTACTGGGACCTCAAGCCCGCCTCCGCCTCCAACGGCAACGGCGCCGCCGACAAGCAGGAGAACCCCCACCGCGTCCACATCGCCCTCGCCACCTCCTCCCACCTCGCCAACTTCAAGCTCAAGTCCGACCACCTCACCGAGCTCTTCTCCATCTTCCCCTCCCACCGCCGCGTCCTCGGCGACGACAAGCGCATCGCCCCCGGCCGCGGCAAGCCCAACCCGGACATCTTCCTCCTCGCCCTCAAGACCATCAACGACTCCCTCCCCGCCGGCGAGAAGCCCATCGCCCCCGAGGAGTGCCTCGTCTTCGAGGACTCCGTCCCCGGCGTCGAGGCCGGCCGCCGCGCCGGCATGCGCGTCGTCTGGTGCCCCCACAAGATGCTCCTCAACGAGTACAAGGGCCGCGAGAAGGACGTCCTCGCCGGCCGCACCGGCGAGGCCGGCCAGGTCGACATGCACCAGGTCGGCGAGGTCGATGACGGCTGGGCCGAGTACATGGACACCCTCGAGGACTTCCCCTACGACAAGTTCGGCATCACCGTCCCCCCCGTCGAGGTCGACGACGAGCCCTTCATGAAGGAGAACGTCGGCGAGGTCCTCGTCGAGAAGGCCAACGGCTCTGCTTAAGTCATTTCCCGGAATATTCATCCAAACGACGACACCAGGATTTTGGCAAGATCTGGCTTGGCATACCAATAACATGGGCAGACTTGGGTCACCGCCGTCCTGGCTCGACATTTTCCTACTTCTTTCCTTTTTGAGCAAGCTTTTTTTACGAGAAAACGGCATTAGACAGGGCATGGATTACGATGATAATGGGCGAATGAAAGACAGAAGGTCTGGCTGGCATGGGATTTCCAATAGAGCAGAGGATTCAGGGAAAGGGAACCACTTTTTGGTTTTTTTCATAGACTGGGCTTCTTTGATCACGGTCAAGAACGAAAAAAGCATTTGGCATTGCGATAGAATTCTCCCAGTGGATTAGAGAAAGCAGGCACGAGAAAGAACCAAGCCCACCCCTCCCGCATCCGAATGATACCACAAAATATATGCATACAAAACAAAGACCCTTTCTGCTTGGTGCCGAAGTTTTTGTGAAAAGGACAGTAGCAAACAAACACAAACCCCAAAAGTCCCTTGTCATTCGATTGATGACACGAAAACGAATCCTGATGGTATCGATGCCCCCTTTGGAAGCATTGTCCTCCTCCCTCCCCAACCCTAGTATGCCGGAGCGAAAATCCACAGCTCGCTCTCGAAAGGCATGTCCTTCCTCCCCCTGTTTGTCCAGTTTGCCGGAACGCCAGATGCTACGTTCGGGTGATCCCTTTCAGGAGTCCATCCCGTAGGAGATAAGAAATCTCATCCACACCACCCCCCCTTTTTGCCGCAATGATGCCGGCCGTCCTGTAAAGCCGTATCCCCCGCCTTTGTAAAACAAGAAAAAAAGCCTGTATGGAGATGTAGAAGATGGAATTGAGTAACGTAGAGGCCGGGAAAAGACGAGCGGTTGAAGATAAAAAATGTGTGGTAGGGTTCGGCCGTGATCATGAACCAGGCATCCAGTGCCGTCTTTTTGTAGTGTAGTGTGCTTGTCATCCGCAGGTTGAAATGTGAAGATCCCGCTCGTCTTTTCCGCGTCGCTCTCCAAGAAGATTATGTAGATATAAAAGGGTTAGACACGCCCTGGGGTGAGGTCGGGTCGGTGCCTTTTGTAAATAAAGATGGGCTGGAAGAGAAAGATGAGCAAGAAAAGGATAACCCCAATCAGAGGAAAGTCTGCGAGCTGTACGAGTTGGACCTGTTCGGCGGCTCGTACCAGTTCTGGTACGGGTGATTCGGCAGCGAAAAGTCCGCGAAGCTGAGCGGGTTCACGAGCGCCTTCATCGGCGCCGCGGGCGGCTGGCTGCTCGCCGCCGTCATCGCAGGCGGTGCGCCGCCGCTCGTGCTGCTCGCGTAGTACTTCCCGCCGCCGCCGCTGCTTCCTCCTCTTGGGTCTGGGTGCGCCATGACGGGCGTGTTCCCGCCCGCGGGGGACGGCCAGCCCCACGACTTCTTGAGCTCGGAGTGGATCTTGCCGAGGCGCCAGCCGGAGGCGGTGTGAATCTTGTCGAGGATCTCGAGGACCTCCTCCTGCTCGCGCGGGTCGGTGAGCACGGCGGAGGCGATGGCGAGGGAGCGGATGGCGACGGAGGCGACGCCGCGGTCCTTTGTGTGCGCGACGATGCCGCAGACCTGGTGCGCGTGGTGCAGCTGCAGGGCGCGCATTTCCTCCGAGGCCTTGCCGGGTTCCATGGGGTTGGTCTGCGCGAGGAGGCATTGGGCGGTGTGGTAGAAGAGGCGGCCGATGATGGCGGCGCGTTTGATTAGCCTGGAGGGGGAATGGTGTTAGTACATGGGTTAGTTTGAGGAGGGAGGGAGAGGAACGTACCAGACGTTGGGGAAGGCAGACTTGGAGTTTGTCTGCGAGGGGTAGAGGTAGCCGAAGGGGTGCATCGTGCGCGGGCACGCGTTGTTCCACTTGTCGCACAGCCGCTTGAGGTCCTGCCACTGCGCGAGCCGGTTGCCGAGGCGGATCTGCTCGTCGTGCGGGCTCGGCTCCTGGAAGCGCGGGATCGTGGCGCGGAAGTTGGCGATCTTGGCCACGATGTACAGGATGCGATGCACCCACAGCTCCTCCGACCCGAAGCCATCTCCCGATGCCGCCGCGGCAGCAGTCGCAGCACCGGCACCGTTGCTCTCGGCGGCAAAGTCCATGTCCAGCCCCCATGAGTCCGGGTCCCACGACGTCTGCCAGTTGAAGGCCAGGCAGGAGAGCACCTCCATGCCGATGTTGAGCCAGAAGCACGCGGCGCCGATGCCGCTGGAGCGCGCGTCCCACTTGCACTCGCGGATGAGGGCGCGGGCGCCGGCGATGTGGTTCATGCGCTGGGCGGGCTTCTCGGACATGATCTCGTAGACGTTGAGGACGACGGCGGTGGTGGCGCACTCGCCGGTGTTGCGGTCGGGGTTCTGCAGCGAGCGCAGCAGCTGGGTGGTGGCGGTGTCGTAGTAGAAGAGGGCCTTGTCGTCCTGGTAGGCCGGGTTGACGAGGGTGAGGTGCTTGACGCCGCAGGCGAGGAAGGCGTTCAGCAGCATGGGCGATTTGAGGGCGTGGTAGGGGATGAGGCGGGAGAAGTGCTTCTCCTTGTCGAGGGAGTCCATCCAGACGCCGACCTCCTCGACGAAGACTTGCATGTAGAGGATCTCCTCGGGCGAGTTGAGGTACTCGCGCTCGCCGGCGGTGGCCTTCTCGCTGGGGGGAGGCGTCATCATGCCGTCGGGCGCGAGGGCGTTGGCGCCGTTAGCAGCACCAGGGGCGGCGGCGCTGTGTCGGTAGGACGGCGGCGGGGCGGTTGGTTGCGGGACGATGGAGGCGGCGGAGGAGGCGTCGCTGTCGCGGTGGGTGTGGGAGCGGGAGTGCGAGTGGTGGTGAGAGTGCGAGTGATGAGCGTTGTCACGGAGGGCGGCGAAGTGCTCGTAGCCGGCGTATGGGTGAGGGCCAGGGTGCGCCGAGTTCTGGGGGGTGAGGTAGGCGGTGGCGGACTCGCTCTCGCGGCGGTGAGGAGGGTAGTCTGCGGCGCGAGGGGGCTCCGGCGGACGGTGGGCGGCGTGTGGCGGGTAGGAGACGTAGGAGGGCGGCAGCGAGGGCGGCGGCGGGTGGTGTTGAAGGTGAGTCCGGGGAGAGACGGAGGCGTCCGGGCCCGGGGCGGCGCGGGCGTGTGGGAGGAGGTGGCCCTGGTGCCGGAGGGTCTGCTCTAGATGGCTCGGCTCAGGCCGGGGAGCGGCGGCGACGGCGACCTTGTCGAGGTGCGCGTACCGGCCGAGTCCGCCGACGTATTCTGAGGCGATTTGTCTTGATTCATCTTGGAATTGTACTGTGGTTGAATCGCGTTAGCCTGTGTCCGCCACGATGCTTACGATTCCTCACACTACCTCACTCACATGAGTGAGGTGAGGGGATCGGCTATTGGGTGAGTGAGATAAGATGGGGGCTCCGGACTTACCCGACCACTCGACGGTGGGAGGCATGTAGGGCGGTTTCTTGACCTGGACATCTATGAAGTTGAGCCGCACGCCGCGTTTGCATTCTCGATTGCTCTTGCGACAATTTAGACAGTCTGGTAAGCCTTCGTCACATTTTAGATGCCGTTCCCTACACGTTAGACAGCCCGTCCGTACTCGTTTGGACTTTGTGGCGGTCGCGGCGGCGGCGGCGGCGGATTTCTCGGGGGACTTTGCGGCGACGATGAGATCGCGCGAGGGGGTGAGGGAGTGGATGCTCGCGCTGCGGCGGGGCGGGATGTGGGAGCTGGGCAAATTCATGGTGTCGTACGGTTGATGGTGGTGATGAGAAGAGTACTGATGGGTTTGGTGGTCTTGGTGGTGGTGGTGATGGTGGTGCTTGAGATAAGAAGACTGCTGCTGTTGCTGCTGCTGGTGGAGTGGTGCTACTACTTCGTTGCCGAGGCTAAAGTCGGTGGTGAAGTCGGAAGAGAAGCCAAAGGAGAGAGAAGAGACCTGGTCGTCGTTGTCGTCAATGTCCTGGGCGCTGTCGAGGTACGGGTCGTGGACAAAGTCGAGGGGCGGATGATGCTCAAAGGGGTGCAGCACCGCCGGACCAAGGCCAAAGCCTGGCACGAGGACGCCTGCAGAGGCGTCGTATGCCTCCAGGGCTACCGAAAGGCCCGTCTCTGGTGAGTAGAGACGGTGGGGGGATTCAACGAGGGCTGGGGACACCCAACGGCTTGGGCGACGTGGAGGGCGATGCGGGCGTCGTTGTGGGCATTAACTTGGTGGAGGGCTGAGAGGTTGAGTTTGCCGTCGGAAGGAGATGAGAGCGAGAGACTCTGACTCGTCGCTGTCGTCGTCGTGATGGTCGTCGTTGGAGTTCGCTTTCGTCGGGTCACTCACGATGAGAGTGAGTGTGCGTGTGTGTGAGAGAGAAAGAAAGCGGATGCGCGCGCGCGAGCGGGGGGCCGATGTACGAATGAGCGGCGAGAATGATCCGCTGTGCTGCTGCTGATTGAAGGACGGGCTGCTGGCTCAATGGCGGGTGACTGACTGGGAACACTGATCCCGTTGCGTGAGAGACGTCGCCGTCGGGTGGTGATGAGATGCCAGGTGCGCAATGTCGATGAAATGCGATGCGCAAGCGATGAGATTCCTTCCTTTCAATGCCGTCGCTGCTGTGCTGTGGTCGTCGTCGAAGTCTTCGTCTTCGTCGTCGTCGGGGGCGCGATCGGAGAGCCACACAGATTCACTCACAGGGGGCGGATGCGTTGCGGTGCGGTGCGCACGATGTCGGTTGTCGGTGAGAAGCGGAGAAGAGATGGTTGGTCGGTTGGTTTTAGTGAGCGAAAAGTCGAGTCGAGATGCGAGGTGCAGTGGGAGGGAGAAAAATCAAAAGTCACAAGCTTTGGCGTTCTGGATGGAGCAAGGTGAGGTAAGTCGAGCCAGAGTAGGTAGAGAAGCTGGATGGATGGATGGATGGATGGATGGAGGGAAAGACTGAGCGGCAGTGGCCCAGATTGACTTGACTAGCGCAAGATGGCCGAGGTGTGTGTAGCGTGTGCCCGTACTAAGTA